TTTCTTTACATAGCTGAGATGAGCGAAGATTTGTTTTGATACATGCTTCCCAAATAAGACTAATAATCCTTTTTTTTTTTGTTTACTACCTTACCATGAAAATAGGATTCTTATGATTTAAAAAGAATACTCGTGCTAATTGCATGATGGCACTAAATTTTACATTGTTTTATAAGCCATTTTAAAACTTAAATTCCTACTTTTACATTAATTTTACCCTAATTATAAGCTTTTAATGTGCTTAAACTCTTATTTTGCAGGAAAATATGGAAGACAATAAAAGTTGGCTAAAAAATGTATAATTTAGCCAAATTTGTGGAATTATGAGCCCTTGAAAAAAACATGCAAGTTAGTAAGCTTGACAAAAGGTGGCAAAGCTCGAAATCTATGCAAGAGTGTATACTTGTAGGTTCGACCAAAGTTGAGGTTAATTTAGTAATTTCTTGAGGACATAAGACTATGGTACTTACAATGTTGCTCAATGCTTAAGATTACACTCTTGAAAAACATGGCAATCCATCTACATGGCACATAATGTCATTAAAATATGTGTATGTGTGTGCATGAAATGGTGGCAAGCTAGGAGGAATTCAAAAGCCATGCATGAAATGAGGAAATCATGTATAGGTAACGAAAGCATTCGGCCAAGACCTCAAGCTTACTTTAAAGGTCGATTTTAAAAGCTCTATATTCTCTAGCAAAGTTAGTTCATACGTGAAAGGAAGAAGGAAAATTTTTCTTCTAGTGAAAAGCCAATTTAAATTGAAAAGATGGCATTGACAACAAAGCAAAATCAACACACATGGACCAATCAAAGACAAGTTTTTGGCCACTCAAACATCTACTTAAGCTATCTCTCTCCTAGTTAGCATTTACGATTTACCAAAACTAGGAAACTTTTGAAATTTGAAAAAAGTTTCGACTAACATGGAAATGCTAGGTTCATCCCCCTTTTTCACCCCACTCCCACCCCACTCTCACTATAAATAAAGGTGCCTAGCACACTTAAAGAGCATCCCACACCTCTACACTTTTGTAAACCTTAGCATTCTCCTTTAGTGTTTCTTTAAACTTTTGGTCTTTTTTAAGTAACTTTCAACCAAAATTCTCTTTTAAGTTTCTTTATAATTTTAGCTAAACTAGCAAGTTCTTTTAAGAATTATTTTTTTTACAATTTAAATTTAGTTTACTTCAATTCAAGTTTCTTTTCCAAGTTCTTAAATTATTTTTCACTCTTTTATTCTTCCAAGATAGTTCAATTCAGTTTCTACCAATTTTGTTTAACTTCCAAACTAGTTTGTTACCATTCCTCAAGTTCATTTTGGCCTTGCTATTTTTTATCTTTAAGTCTACTTTTATTGATCTAAATTAAAGCTTTGTTTGGTTTCATATTCCCTATTTTCATGTTCTTTACATTTGGTTATTACTAGTGTTCTTGTTATGTTCATATCATTCCATTAATCTTATCATGCATTTTTTGTTCGAGGATTATTTAACTATTTTAAGCTTTTAATCATGTGCATTTGAATCATAATACTTTGGTTATGTTTGTCATTCCTTTAGAATCCATGTTTAGGTTCATAATTGCATTCGGCTAGTATCTTGCTCATTTGATTCTAACTATGTCATTTCGTTTATGTTAGTTTATACTAAGGTTAAGTTCAATACATTAGTAGATTAGGTCCTCAAATTTAATTGCTTTCTTGTTAAGTATGATTTCATGCTTACTTAATGGCTGTGCCACCCACTATTATGCTATTTAGTTAAGTTATTAAATTCAAGTTGTTTTATGTTATCTCATGTTCATACGTTTAGGTTATGATTAGTTATGCTTCTGCTTGCTTTTTGATTTTATGTTTTAAGATCATGCTAGTTTGAATTTAAATTTTACTCTTTTTTCATCTTCCAAAATCTCAAATTAAGCTTTCTCTTAATATAAAGTTAAAAAGGTACAATTTTGGTAATTGGCATTTTTCCCCCTAATTACATCTTCTTGATTAGAAAATGAAAGAATTGAGGATCGTAAAACTAGATCAGGGTTTGATTTAGACTACTTGCTTTAGGATTTTTAAAATATAGATTGTTTCTTAATGCAAAAAATTTTAAAGAATTAACTCTGCGGTTTGCAGATCTTTCTTTTGAAATATCTACCAATAGCCATCTAGTAGGTATTGAAAGATCTTTAAGATACATCTATCTAGGATTCTCGTAGGAATGATCTCACGAAAACGATCTCTATTCATCACTTTATTACTTGATCACGATCATTGCACTCGTAGGCATTAAGAAAGTAACAATTAGTGCATTTGCTTCCATATGTTCAAAAAGGTTTGAAAAAAGTTTCTCAAAGGTCTATCAAAGTTTATTGGAGCCTTCAGCTTGCAATTGCTAACATTGGAAAATAAATAAGCTAAGGATTGCAATTTTATTTTATCAATTGATACAACCCCCTTTAACAAAAGTAAAAGGATGGCTCGACAAGCAATGGGCTCTTAAATTCTTTAAGCTAACCTTAGATTTATTTTCTTGTGTTTTTTCTTTAAATCTATTGTTTTACTCTAATCTATTTTGTTTTTTTTTTTTTGTTACTATTCTACAAGAAAAAAAAAAACCCAAATGAATTCATCGATAAAAGAAAATTTATGTAAATATGTTTAATTTAAAGTTGAAGTTTCAAATCAATTACACATAAATGAAAAAATAACTGAGTTTTTTTTCAACCAAAGAATGTGTCTTGGGACTCCACAAGATAAAAGGAACAAAGGACAAGAGTTATTTATTTTAGTGCTTTTGGAAGCCTTACGTAAGTTATAATGTGCACAAAGCCAAATATCAACTATGCTGTGAGCATGATAAGCAGATATCAATCCAATCAAAGTTAATTCCACTGAAAAGTCATGAAAAGAATATTAAAGTATCATAAAAGCACTGTGGATTATTTGTTATGCTGTAAAGGAAGTGATTTGCATTTAATTGGCTATATGAATGCCAATTTGAAAGGAGATTTATATGAAAGAAAATCTACCTCTGACTATGTTTTATTACTTAATATTAGGCTCTATCTTTGATCAGTAAAAAAAAGACTTGAATAGCACTATCCATAATGAAAGCTAAATTTGTAGTATTTTCAATGATATTGCAAGAAGTTGTTTGGCTTAAGAAATTTTTGAATCATTTAAGAATTGAGATAAATAAGTCCAACTTAATATTAGTGAATTGTGATAGTTAAGCAGCAATTGCATTTAGAAATCATATTGCCAATTTCATGTGCACATTTATTATGATTTTCTGTTATAAAATTAACCATGCAAAGCACAAGCATAAAAACTTAGTCAAGAAAAAAATAAAAATAATATTTATTAAAATTTCAATTTTAAATTTTAGAAACTAAATAAGAATCTAAATAATATTTTCTAAAATATATATATGTATATGTATATTATAGAAATGTGAATATTCATTATATATCTCTAACTTTTCTTCTTGGTTTGAAGTGTTTTTTTATTGAACGGTAAGGGATTTTGGAGTTTTGTCCAATACATTTTCCTTTTGGGACAGTCTAAGTAGACTTATTTATGTCAAATATAGAGAATTCATAAAAAAAATAATCTTCTCATAACATCCTAAAAATTATTTATCTTTAATTATTATAATATTTTTATAATAATATATAGTATAATTTTTTTTCCATTGGGGGCTGTAGTAACACATGGGTATAAAGAATTTGTTAGTGTTAGACTTAATAATTAATGTATTTATATCATATTTTATGTTTAAATACAGACATTACATAAATAAACACGAATACTATTTGAATAACAAACATGTCAAAATCCTAAATACAAATATTATATATTTATTATTTGTGTTATACGTGACACAACATAACTAAATGTTTAAAATTAAATGGTTTAAATTTTATATCACATGAAACGATTACACATGATTAACACAATTAATAGGATTAACAATACTATTACCCTATTAAAAAAATCATTTTTTTAAAAGTTAGCCTATTTAAACTGAAAATTAGTTTTCATTAATAATATAATTTTATAATAAAAATAAAAATAAAATTATAACTCCATTATTCAAATTTAAATGAATAGTTATAATTTATAAAGCAAATATAACAAAATAACATAAGGAGGGAATAACTTACAATAGTATAAAATTAAAGGGTTTTACACCTTTTTTTTTTAACTATTGATTTTAATAGATATAAAAAATGAGAGAGAAAAGCGAAAAAAAAAATTTAATCTCATTTCTTAAATTTATTAAAATTAATGGTTAAAAAAAATATGTAAAATATTTTTGTGTAAATTCATCCATTCCCAAATAACAATGTCCACAGTCCATAACATATGTTTAAAATTAAATATATTTAAAATACTTTACATCTACAATTCAACACAACCATAATAAAAGGATCATAAATCCATATCCTTTTCCATCAACATTAAACACAAAAAATTTTAACACAGTAAAAGCATTAAAATGTGATGATTGAATCCCTTGCCGCATGTCATGATCATGATTATATTGAATAAGTATTAATTATCATAATTAAAGGTTTAAAATAGTTTTTACATGCTTAAACCAAATAAAAATGGGCATAAAAACGCGTTATACGGTTACTCATTTAATACAGTTTAATTAAATATGTTATATACATTTTACATGTGTTATATGTTTTAAACAAAATTTTAAAATATGAAGATTATCATATTAAAATTTGTATCAACATATTTAAATATAAAAAATATTTTTACTTAATCCATATTTATTTTTTATATTATTTTAATGTCATATTACATTGTATTATATTTAAAATTATTAAATCTGAGACTAAAGACTCGGCTCCTCCAAAGCATTTTTATTTGAAGAAAGGCATTGTTAAAAAGCAATTAAGGAGGAAGGCAACTAAATGTTCTGAAAGGAAAAGAAAAAAAAAAACACAAGACATGACGAGGCAAAGGCTTCCAAAGCTGTTGAGTGTCATGTCCGCCAGTAATATATGGAGCCTGACCTGCTAAAGAAATTGCCACATGCAGTTTTGATTTTAAAATCAGTTGATAAATGCCTCAGGCAGCTAATCATTTGGTTTGAATTCAAACCATAAGAACCGCCTGTCCTCTTTGCTTTCCCTGTAATTCAAACTATAATGAATAAAATCTTGCCCACAATCATATAGGTGTTCAATTCAGCAATTTATATTTATTACAACACAAACGAAGGCCGTAATATAGAAGACAAGGCTAATTTGTACAAGGAAAAGGAAAGAGCAAATTAAATCAGTTGATAAGAGTCATTTGTTGGATGTTGATTGGATAAGAATCCAAAAGAGGCCCATAGAAAGCCCGACGTGCTAGAATGGCATTAACGGCTTGTGTAGGATGGAAAGCATCCCAAAACACGTATTGATTTCTGTTTGGGCATGGATATGCAAATGGCAGACATGTTATTTGCCCTTGGTTCCTCCCTATTCCACAACATCCTTTATCAACAACGTTGAACCCTGCAACATTTGTTTACTTTCAAATTTCAATACATATTATATTTAATCCATAAACTAGATTTTCTGTTTTGTTACCAAAAGCGGTAGGATTGTTTAGGATGTCACCCACAGCACCATAAGTATTGCCATATGCAACGACAGCACCAGGACGCATATTTAGTTGGTCTACCATTGATTTTGCCCCTTGGTTGAAAGTTCCCAGCATTTCATTAACATTATCTACGCATCTTCCCGGCGCCGCTTGTCCGCTTGCTCTTTGGTTAGGGATGCAACCAATGGGTCCAATTCCAGCTATAAAGAATTTCCTTAGTCCTAAACTGTATAGTGCCTGCAACAATTATGCCATAAACTTATATAATTTAATTTGCACTAACAAATTAGTTTAGGACTCTCCAAAATGTGAGAATAGTTTTTACCAAAAGTTGTCGGGCATAGCGGTTGAGAAGAAGGTTGCCAAATTCTGAAGGAGTGTAAGTGTAGTTAGAAGAGTAGATGGAAGGCATGAGATAATTGTTGATGTAATCATTGCTCCCAAACACCAAAATTGCTATGGATTTGGCCAGGAAATTCGTCAAATTTCTCCCTATCATTGTTCGTAGTTGATCCAATGTGCTTTCAAAATTCAATACTTGCTGACTTAGGCTGTACCGTTCACCCTGCATGAATCCATCACCATTGTGATTTTCATCCTATAGAAAGTTAAGCAAAATACATACATAATGTTGGCCGCTCTCATCAAGGATGCCTGCGGCTGCTGAAGCATAATTCACTCCTCCAAGTAATTTGACTCCCACGGAGTTGGGATCAGCAAAGGGCGGAGGATATGGAACACCCAGCATCTCTCCTGCTTGGACAAAATAATTTATATCATAGTGGGTCAGCACAAAGGCTTTTTTTGGTATGAATGATAAAGATGAAACGTTTTATGCTATGCCTGATAGAAAAGGGAGAAAGATGAATAATTTTGTAGTTCATCGATTAAATTAAAACTTTTTTCCCCTCTTCTTTTCTACTTTATAGCCAAACTATTCCAATAATGTAAAAAACTTACCAATAATGTCAACAAAGGTTTTTCCATTAGAAAATCTTCCGGTAGGCTGCATATTGAAATCAATACCGTAAGGAAAATAGTTAGATTTGGCAATTGAGCTAAGGAAATTGTTGTTGCCAACATCAACCAATGAGTCTCCAAACACAAAGAGTGCAGGAACTCGTTCAGAACCTGTAACTCCATTTGAGTGGTGAAGAATCATAATAGCAAATGCAATAAACCAGAGACTACCCATAATTTAATACAGAAGAGAATAATGAAAGTTGTATTTCCAGGTAGCTTTTGTAACCAAACAAGTGAGTTTGAGCAACATAACGGTGAAGAAGAATATAAAAAGGGGATTATATCCGTTTTGAAACGGAAACGGGGTGTAACATGCGTAAGACTCCATAAAAATTTGCTTTTTTCTATATACCTTTTCCCTTGATTTTGGGTGCTCTTTTCAATGTCCGTTTTTGGGTTATTTTTTCAACTTTTACTTATTTTACGTTTGTTTTTCCTTACAAGTGAGAAAGGAGGCATGAAGGATAAAGACAAAAGAAGGTTACAGATTTTTCCTTTATAAGGAAAAAAAAAAAAGACAAGCCTTCATTATTAGAGAAGGCAAAAAAACTCGAAATCGATGAGTTTTGATCCGATTCGATCTTTTCGGTTTAATTTTTTGAAAATCGGGTATCGGGTTGGGTCGGGTCAAGTGGTATAAAAAATTCGGGTCGAGTCGGGTCTGGATCGAATTTTAGGCAAACTCGACTTGATATATATATATAAATTATTTTTTAAATTTTTTTATTTAATTTTATAATTATTTATATATTTTTATATATATTTAATTTTATATTTATATTAAAAATAATATTTTATATTTAAAAAATAATATTTTATTAATTTCAGATCGAATTTGGGTATAAAAATAATAAAAAATTTATCAGGTCGGTTGAGTTTGGATTTTGTATATTTAAAGTCGATCGAGTTCGGATTTTGTATATTTAAAGTCAAGTCGGGTTTGAGACGAGCAAAAATTGATCCCGACCCGACCCGTTGTCATCACTATTTATAGTTGAGTTTTCATCTTAAAACCATAGAAATGAGTTTGGATGCCATTATGAATCAAAACAGGGGGTGGCACATGTCAACAAATTTATGAGCTTGTCTTATGATAGTAACAAAAGATAGATTTTACAAGGAAATAACTATATTCAAGCAGTGGTTTATAAGTTATGACCCTATTTATTCTGCAATTTTCTTTATTTGTGCATCTCATGCAACAGTTTTGAAAATCAGTACTAAGCACTTCCCACAGGTAAAATGTCCATTTCAAATTTCATATGTGCAGACTTTGAAACCTCATATTTTTTGCCAGTTTTAGACTAAAAAAATATTAAAGAAATATTAAAATGGTTATTTAACTATACACTTTCTATTGTTTGGCATTTAAAGAAATAAAATTATTATATTGATACCTAAACTTTCAATTCATTTTCACGTTATTTTCTCGGATTAACGTTCTTATCAACTTTACTGATGTAGTATGAATATAAAAAAAAAAAATTGATACGTGTCACAATCAGCACTACATCATCAATGTTATGTATTATTAAAAAAATTATAAAAAATTTTTCAAACTTTCAAAAAATATATATTTTTTGAATTTTTTATTTTTATTAAAATTTTTAGGTTTTTTTTGAGAAATTTTTGAAATTTTAAAATTTTTTATAAATTTCAAAAAATTTCAAAAATCTGTTAGAATTTTTTCATAATTTTTTAAATTTGTTTGAATTGTTTTGAAAATTTTTTGAAGTTTTTAAATTTTTTTGAAAATTTTCAAAATTATTTAGAATTTTAAAAAAGTTTTGGAATTTTTTTAAAAAAAGTTTTGGAATTTTTTTAAAAAAAATTTTAGAATTTTTTAGAATTTTTAATATTTTTTTTAAAATTTTCTTTTTTATGTTGACCTATGATTGATTGATTGGACTTTTTTTTACACATGTCAATATCTTATTAGATATTAATAGTATGTCAAAAAAATTGACTAATAACGTTAATCGTAAGTATTAACATGATAATGAAATGAAAGCTTAGACATCAATGCGTCAATTTTACATTTTTAAGTACCAAATTAATAGAAAATATATAATGTGGGAGTCATTTTAATATTTAACCTTTTAAATAAACACAATACGTTGACTTTATTAAAAAATTATTTATTAGAATTTTATAGTTTCAACATAAACAATATTTTTAAGATTAAAAACATAATTTTTGTTAAAATTATGTTTTCAAAATTCTAGCAAGCACAACATTTTAAAAATTAAAAACATGATTTTTGTTGAAAATATATTATTAAAAAATTATTTTTCAAAATTCTATATATAAATAATTTTAGTAATTTCTAATTTTTTATTCATTTCACAAAAATATTTGATCATAAATCATTTACATCCTAAATAAATAAATAATTTAACATGTTAAATAAATAAGTAATTTAAATATAATTATATGTTACATGATATTTTTATATTTTCATAATTATCAACCATTATTTATGTGTAATTAAGGATAATATGAAAAAAAATTTCATTAAATAATCTTACCTTACTTCAACCAAACATAATATTTTACATTTCTATAAGGTTAACAAATAGTAGGAATCATCAATTTTCCCAATCCATAAATTTTTCTAAAATCATTTTCTCTTTCAAAATCTTAAAATTCACAAATTAAACATTCATTCGAGAAAAGGAGAAGAGAAATACAAAATTTTTCAGCTGCCCAAAATGCAGCATTTTGGGTCGAATTGGAAAAATCAAACAATGAATAAATAAATAAATAAATAAAAGGGAAGAGAAATGGGTCGGCACTTGTGACTTGACCCAGAATGGTGAGAGCCGACCCGTGTTTTAGACATGGATCAGGTTCAATTTTCTTTTCATCCAACCGGGCCTAGACTTGAGTTGACTAGGTTCAATTGTTAGCGTAGATCAAACTTAAATTGCATCTTAAATTCTTGGTATTTTATTTATTTTCTTTGTTTCTTTATATTTTTTTATTTAATTTTCTTTTATTCATTTATTTACTTTCTCATGCATATTATTTAATAAGTTCGTAAGTTTAATTTACTTTGAACAATTAAAACTTTATTAAAATCATGTAATTTTAAATCAATTTTCAAATAAATAAAATCCATTCAATTATAAAATTTTAAGAGATTTGCAAACACTACAAAAAAATGTGTTTTAGCGAGAATTTTAACATGGGTCAAGTGTTGGCCCTCAATAATTTTTTTTTCTATTGAAGGTCATTCATAACTTTCATTGAAAGTAATTTTAGTCAGCAATGTATTTTTATCCTCACTAAAAGTCATTTTGTTGAGAGAATCATAAATTATTTTTATTAATTTAATATTTTTTTGTGAGAATCTAAAGTTAACCTTCATAAATTTGTTTCATAAGTGTCAAATATAAATAGATTTAGTGAGGGTCACTTCAAATCTTAGTAAATAAATTTTGTTAATTTTATATATTTTTAAAAATTAAATAATTTAAATATATTTTTTTGTAAATTTTGTGAAATTCATTGTAATCTCATAAAAATATATTTTTTCAATAGTAATCAAAATAAAAAAGTATATATTTAAAAAAATATTTAGTACAAAAAATTCTAAAGAAGTAGTAAATAACAAATTATTATTATGATTTATGATTTTATTGAAAGTTAATATTCAAAGGCGATTATATATATATATATATATGTATGTATGTGTAGTAATTATTCATAATTTTAGTAAGAGTGAATATTCAAAGGTGACCCTTGTTACATCTTTTTTACTGTGAATACAAAAAATTGAATATAACAAATTATTTTATTTAAAAAGAAGGCAAAGAAAAATTATCAAAATTTTCTATTGGGAAAGAAAAAAATTCTTTCATTCAACCAAGAATTAAGGTTTCTTCCTTGTCCCCAATTTAGCATTGCACTGACTCTACCTTTGTCACCACCACTAGTGCTATCGCATATAATGCCACTATCCCTCTCTCTTCTAAATAAGCCTAGTAATCACTAAGCTCTCGGTTTAGATCAGCTTCTTTGTCTAGCTCTTACTTTTGCTTTCGATCTAGATCCTTATCTTCTTCCACTCTTTTTTGTAACGCTAGCTCTCAAAGTTGCAACCTTCTTTAATGTTGAGCGTCACCTTTTTACTTTTTTCTTCATATTTTTATACTCTAGAAATTGTTCATAAGGATTAATAAATTCTTAAGTTTTGAAAATTTTCATGAAAAAAGATATATTTTGTTAATAGCAAAAAGAAACCAAAGAATTCAATTTTAAATTGATTACGTACTATTTGGTTACTTTTTTAGGTTTCAATATAAAAACAAATTTGAGAATACAAAGCAGTGATTTTACTTTTGTATAGAACAATTATGTTAGAATCATGTTATGTTTTAGTTATTTGTGCATTTTTAATCAATTAATTTTGGTTTCTATCATTTGCTTTTGATTATTTTCTATTTCTTAGGAAGCGTGAGCAAATAAAACAAGTAATAAAGTAATAACAAAAGGGATCCCTATTTAGAATCTTAGGGATATCAAAATTTCCTTCATGTGTTGATAATTTTGAAGTTAGTACATGTTATTAGCTAATGATAGCATATTAAAATATAGTATTTTTATTTGCTAAAATTGGTACTAAATTTTTATTTTTTGATGGATTTTGGTATTTTTAATGTTATTTTCATGATTTTAAGCTTTAAGGCTTATGGACTTCATTTTCATGCAATCTATACATGAAGGTGCATATTCGCCCATGCAATACAAAAGAATAGTCGAACCCTATTGGTCCAATTCCATCCATCCATGCAACCATACAGTAAAGCAAAGGAATTTGAAGAATTTGAATCGTACAAAGACTATTCCATCACCATCACATTTCGCCATTTCAATTGCAAGAAGGGATAAGACACATTTGATTGAGTTTTGCCAGCATTGGGACTCTATTCATTTGGCCAAATAAGGTTTTATCCAAAAATGACTCTTTTTGCTTAGCCTAGAAGAATTTCAAGCTACTATAGACTCTATCATATTTAGCCAAATGAGCTAAAACATAATTAAAGAAGTTCAAGCTCACAAGGACACTAGAGATATTCAGCCAAAGCTATTTGCGATCAACTATGACTTTTTGTTCAATCATTCAAAAGAGTTATACATGGAGAAAGACTTTAGCCATTTAAAATGCAAATGGTTGGATCA